CTGGACTCCTGAAGCAAGTTAATCTAAGATCATCAGATCTATTTAACTACTACTTTCTAACATATGGTTGGCTAATTTTCTATATTCCCTAGTCATCTGCCTTTATTGGCTTTTAGCGTCGCTCTCTCTGTGTCTGGACTCCTGAAGCTATGGCATGTGGTTGGCTAATTTTCTATATTCTCTGGTCATCTGCCTTTATTGGCTTTTAGCGCCGCTCTCTCTGTGTCTGGACTACTGAAGCAAGTTAATCTAAGATCATCAGATCTATTTAACTACTAATTTCCAACATGTGGTTAGCTAATTTTCTATATTCCCTGCTCATCCATCAAATATAGGCCATGTCGTTTGAATCCACAAGTAAGCATTAGCACATGGAAGTTTCCTCAAGTAAGGATCCATCAAATATATACCATATTGTTTGAATCCACAAGTAAAGATTGGCACATAGAAGTTTCTTCAATTAAGGATCCATCAAGTGACCCTCCAAACAAAGCCTGAGTACTTTATGCCAGGCGCAGGTTCATGTAAAGATCATATCATTGTCTTTTTACCATTTTGGGACCAAGCATCCATAACATTTGAAACATGCTTCTTTGTTGCAGGCAAAAACCTGGGGATACTTGAAACAGTTTTGGATTTTCCATATACATTTTTCCAATAGTAGCTAGCACTTCAATCTCTATATGTTCACTGACAGTTTCCTCCAAAGATTCTTACTTGAGATTTACATGTGATGCTCTTGGATCTGTACAAATGCTTACTTGTGAATACAAAGAAGTTTATTGTTTGGTTTAAAACCTCTTGACTTGAGATTTACATGTGATGTTCTTGGACCTGTACAGATGTTTACTTGTGAACACAAACAGAAACTTGTATTGTCCTGCCTAAAACATCCTTACTTGAGATTTACATGTGATGTTCTTGGATTTTTGTGGTATATTAGAGCATCTTTACTTGAGATTTACATGTGTAGGGGATGATCCTGGGCCTGTACAGATGTTTCCTTGTGAGCCAAAAGAATCTTTTATGGTTCCTTGAAACCTCTTTACTTGAGATTTACATATGATGATCTTGGATCTTTAGAGATGCTTACTTACTTGTGAACAGAAATAACCTTTTATGATTCTTCAAATCATTTTTGTAAACAAGTGCACTGGGCCTTTGCACTTGCAATTGTTTCAAAGTTTTGGGAAAGGAAACAAGTTGCTGGCATTGCCAGTTTTGATTGCATCACACTATGAATTTTATATGTCCATATTGGTGTCCAAAGGTTTGGGAATCAGTGGAATCAAGTCCAAATGTATAATCAAAATCCTTAAAAACCACATGTCAGCCCTTGAATTTTCATATAAATTTTATATGAAGTTTATATGCAGTTTATATGCAGTTTATATGCAGTTTCAAAACTACATGTAGTTTATATGCAGTTTTGACCAAACTACATGTAGTTTATATGCAGTTTTGAAAACTGCATATAAACTGCATATAAACTACATATAAACTGCATATAAACTGCATACCAAAAATCTACAGATTTTGAATGATTTTGACATGCCTGGAAAGCTGAAAGCTTGAGATTTTGAACTGCTGCTGCAAGAAAATTTGTGATTTTCAAGGATGACAACTTAGAAAGAAAAAGTATATATACACATGCAAGACCTTTTAGGCAGACCACTAACTGAACCAAAGATACTTTGATGAAATGAACCTGAGGGCCATTGCTGCTAAAGTTTCAGATCCTTTTCAAAACTTGGTAAAGGCTGCAAATAATGTTTCTCACGAAATAATTTCATATGTGTCCCATGACATTTGTCAAGACTGCCTGGAACTTACCAAATAAAATTGCAAGACATTTGGCTAAACAATGGTTCAAGAGTTATTCATGACTTTTTTGTGTAGGTTTCCCAGTGAAATAGTTCATGGTTAATTAAAAACTTGACAACAATAGTTAAAAAAGAGGCGGCCACAACAGTCCCCTCCCTTTGAAAAATGGCAAGGTGATGTACAGCCAAGGTGATGCACAGCCGAGCACGGATGAAGGCACTGCTAATCGCTCCCTTTTCACATGTCTCTCAAAGCTTGAAGTAGTTTCCTTCTGGACCCACCTGCTCCAGCTATCAGCTTTGGGGACCGTTCAGCAGTCACCGGCCGGTTCGTACTACGACTGGGAGTTACAGCCCCTGTCTAATTTGGTTGTCTCACTTGAAGCCAACATCGAAGAAAGAGGCGAAAGGCAGCTTCTGATGCAGTCCGAACGTCGTCTATGAGCCAAAACAGCTCTCCAATGGCCACATCTTCGTCGAGCGAAAAAACGAAACTTGATCAAATGGCTTGCGCTTTCAATAACCACTGTGCACTGGGATCACTGGAGCACTTTGATTTTGTACATTTCCAAGATCTGATTTCCTCATGGACATTTCGCTCAAGCGTACTGGGCGTCTGCTCAGCAGCGAGAAGCCAGCAGCACTCAGGCGTTTCATAACTTCTGAGTCTGGGCTTTCACAAGTTTCAGCTTCGAAAGCCTCTTGACCCCAAAAGATGCCAAGAATGTTTTGAAATTTCTCAGGCAGGAAATTTCATGCATTTTGCCAATGCTGGACTTGCATGCTGAACCTGCATACAATCATTCTAAGGGGCCAGGGAGGGGGAGAGGTCGAGACCCGAAACCACGAATTTGGGCAAGTTTTATTTTATCTGCCAACGTTTGAAAAACCATCAAGATCGGATTTCAAGCAACGGACATGGTTGTGCCGCCTGGCCCCAAGAGATGCCGATCCTTTGACCCAACGAGTTGAAGCAGGAATTTTCACAAAATTGATGGTTTTGAATGGAAAATCCTATTAAAACGGATGATTTGGGGGTACCCCCATTTTAGCAAAGCTCCATATGATTTCGGATCGAAACCCAGCAGTGAGCTGGGGTGTGGCAGAGTCACACATTCACAAAATGGTTTGCCACTCCACTCAAAGAAGTCAGGTCGCAAATTGCTCATGGCCAACTGTGACTTTGGTTTGCCTCTACCGAAACGAGATACATCTCACAGCCATCGTTCACGCTGCTGTAACTGCTGTGAGCGACGGCGGTAGTTCCAATCGCTGGACCAAAATGTGGGTCAAAGCGAACCTCCAAGGTCCATGGGCAACCCGCCCATGGCTACATGGCTTTGCTCATTCCAGCAACATAGGGTGCAGGAAAAACGTTGGATGCGGGATTCCAGAGATTCTCCGCAACATGAATGTGTCAAAAGAAAAGGAATGAATGCCTGCATGTTTGCATGCACTTGGTGTTGAAACCCTGTACCCACCATAATCCCCGAAAATTCTAATCATGGTTGTTTGTCTGCACTGCTAGGAATTTCCGTGCTGAGAGCTGAAAATGGCTTTTGTTTTGCGATGTTCGATCTCCATGCTACATAATACAATCCATGTATTGATCCGTGCGTTCATCTATGATTTAAATATCTATCAATCGAAGCTGATCTGATCTGATCCAACTCTACTCACCTGCCCTTACTTGACCAATCTATCTATCTGGCTGCATGTATGCCTGGCTGTCTGTCTGTCGGTCTATCTATCAATGTTATTCGTACTCCTATTCCTGTTCTATTCTACTCTATTCGCTTCTAATTCTACTCTATTCTATTCTATTCTACTGCTACTTTATTCTGTTCTATTCTACTCTACTGCTGCTCCATTCTTTTCTATTGTCTATTCTACTCTGGTCTATTCAGTTATGTTCTTTTCTATTCCCGTCTGTTCCATTCATTCTGTGGGATTGTATTCTATTATTTCCTTTTCTTTTCTAGTCCTCTCTAGCGTTAATCTACTGTTATTCTATGGTCTGTCTATCTATCTATCTATCTATCTATCTATCTAAATCTGTCTAAATCTATCTTAATCTGTCTGTCTGTCTGTCTGTCTGTCTATCTGTCTATCTATCTATCTATCTATCTGTCTGTCTGTCTGTCTGTCTGTCTATCTGTTTATCTATCTAATCTATCCAATCTATCCGACCTATCTAATCTATCTAATCTTTCCAATCTAGCTAATCTAATCTAAACTAATCAAATCTATCTTTCTATCTATCTTCTATTGATCTTTCTATCTCTATCTATATATATATATATATCGTTCTATCTCTGTCTTTCTATCTTTCTATCTCTATCTTTCTATCTTTCTATCTCTATCTTTCTTTCTTTCTATCTCTATCTATCTGTCTATCGGCTTACCGATCTATCTATCTATCGGTTTATCGATCTAGCCATCTAGCGATCTATCTGTCTATCGATCTATCTATCTAGCTCTGTCTCTATCTCTATCTATCTCTATCTATCTATCTATCGATCGACCTCTATCTGTCTATCTATATCTATCTTTCTCTAATCTAACCCAATCAAATCTTATCTTATCCTATCTTATCTTATCTATCTACCTACCTATCTTGCTATCCTATGCTATCCTTTGCTATCCTTTGCTATCCTCTCCTATGTTATCTATTCTTTCTATTCTATCTACTCGATCTATTCAATCTATCCGCTTCTTTTCTTTTCCGTTCTTTTCTGTTCTATTCCATTCTATTCTGTCTATGCAAAATATCTGGCGACGATGGTGATGATGAAATTGCAGATGAAGTCGCAGATGCATATCACTGAGGATGGAAGTTTCAATGGCACCAGCACTGAAGGGAGGGGATATAAGATTGAAAAGATTCAAGGAATTCAACGGTCCTGGTCCCTGCCTATTCCTCGCTGAAGCAAGAGCAACTTCAGCTAGCACAAGCTCGCTTCCGTGATTACTGGGGATCTGATATATACATAAGCGGCATTTTTTCCCGGAGGAAATCAGGGAAGAATTCTCTGAAAATATGGCGAAAAAGGTAGGAAATACACTTGTGTCATAGTCTGGAGGTGCCAATATCCGATTAGTCCGTCTTGTGGGGAAGCCTTTAAAAGGGACCACCAACCATTCTGAGATCATCCTGGAAGTTAGCTCAATGGATTGGTTTCCTGCCACTTCCCCGTCATGAATGATTGAATGACGTGCAACTGAGCACATTCCATGATATTCCTGATGTGTAATCGGCTGTACAATCCACGTACCAACCACTCAGCCAACCTCACTGGTCATTCCAGTTGGATTTGCTGGCTCATTCTGGCTCCCGGCACAATGGGAATGTCACCTATAAGAATGGCTGGATGTTGCCTATGGTGCCACTTCGCTGGCGCCTGGCTTTGAGCACAGCCGCAACACCGGCGCGCCCAGCAGCGGTTTGAAGGAGAGGGGCAGGCGCTGGATCCGCGTGTCCGCAAATAGATCGCCCACCTCGAGGCTCGGAGAACGCCACGACCCATTGATGGGGACGTCAAAAAACAGAAATTACCAGGGAAGTGGCCGAAAACATGGAATGTGACCAAGGAAAAAGAAAGTGAAAAAGGAAACTAATCGGAAATTGTTTGAGCAATGTGAGTTCAGGGAAAGAATCAAGAATCAGATGTGTTCTTGGGCTGAACAGGGGGCTACAAGAGAGGGTCAAGGATGCCAATACCAAGCACAAGAATGTATGGAGCTAGAATCACAAACACACATGAAGATATGTTAATTTAAAAGAAATGTTTTCTAATTCGGGGGATCGAAAATAGAGGCGAAACATGCGAGAGTAGCCAAGAGATTCACAATAACGGAAAGGTAGCCTGCAAAAAATTGTGTGCAACATGTTCAGACAACTGTTTGGAATTCAAAGTAAGAGGAAAGGTCACTAATCGATATGGGCGCAAATCCCCCATTCTATCCACTGGTGCATAATCATCTCCAACACTAAAGCGGCCAGAAAACCAATGTAAAGTTACTCCATTCGTGTACAAACTCGTACCAACAAAAGCTTAGCCAATGGCCAGCCAACCAAGTCTTTTCCAATTTAACGGCTGAATCTTTGAGATTCTATGTGGGATTCGCATGGGTTCGCAACACCTTTGCCGCCGAGATTTCGGTGGGAATCGAAAAAGAAGCGAATTTTGAGCCTTTTCCCGAATGCGTAGCAAGGGTTCCCGTTTCACTCTGGGGGTCTGGGGGTTGAGGATGTGTTCGCTCTACGTTGCCTAACCGTCCGCAACCGTTCGCAACCGTTCGCGCGATCCCCGTATGGCCGTGCTGGTAAGTTCTGCAGAAGGGGTCATTTTTGGAGGTTTCAAACGTTGCGTTGCTTCGTTTCGCGTGGCAGGCGTGGCACTTCGTGACAGTCAGATGTGCTTTGTAACGTGTCGAAAGTCGTTTTGTGTAGCAGGCGCAATACTTTTGCCAAGTTTTCAGAAGATGAGTTCCAGTTTTCCTGGCAGGCGCACAATTTGGACGTGATTGTCGTCATTTTGCGTGGCAGGCCTGGCATTTTGTGAGATGTGATGAAAATTGATGAAGGCCTCCTCGCACGAAACATTGATTTTGAGGTCGCAGATTTTCAGGTTCTTAAGGAAAACTCGTAAGAAAACATCGATTTTGAAGCTACAAAGTGGCAAAATTAGAGGCAGTCTCACACGAAATGCTCGTTTTGATGCTCCCACGTGTCTCGTCTTGAGTCTCTCATTGTCCTGTGGCCTCGCCGTGTCTATGGGGGAAGCTGCAAAACCTCTCCTTTTCGAAGGTTTCCAAGCAGGTTGTCATGTCGTTTTGCATGGCAGGGGCATCACTTTGTGACATTCCAACCTATTTGATAACGTGTCGAAAGTCGTTTTGTCTGGCAGGCGCAATACTTTTGTGTCGCCATTTTGCGTGGCAAGCGCAGCACTTCAGACGTGTCAAATTGCGTGCCCTACACTCCACACCGCACTTTACACTCCACACTCCACACTCCACACTCCACCCTTTACACTTCACACTCCACACTTTACATTCCACACTTTACACTCTACACTTTACACTCCACACTCTACACTTTACACCCCACATTCCACACTCAACACTTTACACTTTACACTCCACACTTCTCACACCACACTCTACACTGTACATTCCACACTCCACACTCGACACTTTACACTCCACACTCCACACTCTACACTTTACACTCCACACTCAACACTTTACATTCTACACTTGGCACTCTACACTTTACACTCCACACTCTACACTCCACACTCCACACTTTACACTCCACACTCAACACTTTACACTCCACACTCTACACTCCACACTCCCCACTCTACACTTTACACTCCACACTTTACACTCCACACTCCACACTTCACACTCTACACTTTACACTACACACTCAACACTTTACACTCCACACTCCACACTTCACACTCCACACTTTACACTTTACACTCCACACTTTACACTTTACAATTTACACTTTACACTCCACACTCTACACTCCAACCTTTGAAATTTACACTCTACACTCCACACTCTACACTCCACACTCTACACACTCTACACTTTACTCTCCACACTCAACACTCTACACTCCACACTCTACACTCCAAACTCCAGACTCTACACTCCACACTCCACACTCCTTACTTTACTCTCCACACTCTACACTCCAAACTCCAGACTCCACACTCCACACTCTACACTTTACACTCTACACTCTACACTCTACACTTTACACTCTACACTTCACACTTTACACTTTACACTCTACACTCCACACTTTACCCTCCACACTCCACACTCTACACTCTACACTTTACACTCAACACTCTACTCTTTGCACTCCACCCTCTTCCGCATGAGAAACATGTAGACTGTTCAAATAGCTTGTTTCACAAAAGTGCTCTACGTCACTGCATTCGGGTTCGTAGCCTGTATCTAGTACTTCATATCTATATCTATTTCTATATCTATGTCCATGTCCATGTCTGTGTCTATGTCTATGTCTATCTATCTATCTATCTATCTATCTGTCTGTCTATCTATCTATCTATCTATCTTTCTATCTATCTATCTATCTATCTTATCTTTATATATATATATATATATATATCATATCATAGATCCATATTAGATGTATCTGTGTATCTAGATCTATATCCAAATATCTACATACCTGTATTTGTATATGTCTGTATAGTTTTTCTTGGTGGTCTCGCAACACTGTGCGAAATAATGTGACACTTCAGCTAAATCCCGGGTGGATCCTGGCCGATTTATAGGGGTACCCAGATACCCAGAAATGACTTAGGAAACGTGTTTTTTGCTTAAAGGTCATCCTCAATTCATTACACTAAATCCCATTCTATCTCTGTATGAAGGTTTCCTAAGTCATGGGGGTACCCCAATAGCTGGATGGTTGGAAAATCCCAAAATACCTCGGAAACCTCCACAGTTTCTCCAATCATCAACCATAGCAGATATATGCAGATATTGTTGGGTAACATCCCATGATTTCACCCTCTGCTGAACTAACATTAGCTTAAATAGCTAAACCATCTATAAATGCTCCATTTTCTATAGCCACTGTGGATGGTTGCGAAATCCTGCACCAGTTCATAGATGGTTTATTCCATTATTTTTAGAGTTTCAACCATCCAAGGTGATGCAGGATTTCGCAACCATCCACAGTAAATATTTTATACTTTATGATACCAACCATCTATCAACTGGTGATTTATAATCCATATTCCATAAATTTCCAAAACATAAATAATCCATATTCCATAATGTATTTCCAAAACCATATATCTATAATCCATAATTTCAACTGGTCATATACGGGTCATATGGGATTCGACACGTTCCCAGGTCCCTCAGGTCGTCACCCCATCACGACAGGCCAACAGCAGCGCCACGATGAGGCCCCGCGGCGCCGCGGCGCCGCCCAGCGCGCTGCTGGCAGCGAGGGCTTCGGGCAACGTGTCGTAGGCAAGGACCTCGGGGCCAGGGGAAGGACTCCAAGGGAATTTAACCGTGAAAACTATGGAAAATCATGGGGGTTCATGGGATTTTGTAAGATATGTGAATGAGATATAATGCTTTTTGCAGCCTGATACTCTGACTGCTGCGCGCGAAACCACGGGAAAGTGACTTTGTGAATGGAAACGGGATTGAAAGACCCTCAACCTCCCAAAAGGAGATTCACGCAAAGATGATATGGAGTGAAATATGGGGTGAATTTTCCGTGGTAGAACTGCGGCATCGGGTCTTGAATTGTTTCACAAACTGCTGAAGTTTCTTGCCATCAACCCACTCGGATAAATCAAGGTAACAACCCACAAAATCAAAAAAGACCAAGACCCATGGAACCTTAGGCCCTTGCTGATTGACCAAAAACTCTGTACGGACATCCTGAGTGTACCTCGACAAAGCCTGGAAGTACTCACCGAAATAATTCTGCAACCTAGACCTAGCATTCCGCTGATCCAGCTGAGGAAACACACGCGGTTGAACAATGACAGGAATAGAAGAATCCCGACAATTTTGATACACATCCCAGACTCTGTCGAAGTCATTGGGTCGGACAATCCGTTTGCACACTTGGTCAGGAACACTGCTCAGGAAAGAGGTGTAAAGGGGTTGGATCACTCGGAGGTTGTTCTGACGGGCACAAAAATTGGCACGCACAGCGATCCCCCAGCGCGGCAATGATGTGGCATTGCCATGACACAGCCACTGTGATCAACTTATGGTAAGGTTCGAGCTTAGATCGAAACGCATCCCTGGCTACCTGGCTATGGCCCTGGCGGCTGCATCGACCATGCTATTTCCATAAGTGAGATATGGATCCTGACTAGACTTTGCCGTACAATGGGCCTTTACGTTTATGACGTGCACTCCATCAGGACGGGATTTCACAACAGAGCAAACCAGATTCCAGCAATCCCAATTGTTTCATTCGCGCGAGAAATCAGCATCTTGAAGCCTTCTGAAGATTCGAACAACCGTCAAACAATCACTAGCAATGGTGATAGGACCTCTGGAATGTGACAAAGCCAAGGCTGCCGCAAAAATTTTCGACCTCTGGCTCGTGCAATCTTGTGTGGGGAGGAAGCACGCAAAATTGCATTCCGTGGAAAGAAAATATGTTGAAGCAGGTACCAATTGCTTTTGTAACAAGACCCATCAATGAAAACAATATCAGTAGGAATAAAAGGCCCGGGACACTTGAGACAATGGGGTTCGAGCTGGAGAGGGGGAGAAAACACAACCCCAGTCAACATAGGGACATCATGACCAGACTCGACTGGTGCGGGCCTCGTTCTGGAGTGAGCCGGGCAATCACAAAACAAAGGCCTCACAGTCTCCTTTTCCCCGCACGCGATGCACGAATTATCCGGGGCCAAGCCAGCAGCATGAAGCCGAGAGGAAGTAAAAGCACGGCCCGTCTGTGCCATCCGCAGCATTTTTTACTGCATGCCCGCCTTCAAAGTGATTCACCATCAAAATCAGGAATTTAAGGTGCTTCACCGTCTTCAACCCACAGTTATAGCCCGAAATACCAGTGGTAAGTCAGTGAAATCACCCCATTGATGGAATGATAATCCCAATAACCAGTTGCAACTGGTGGCCTTAACGGTAACTTCAGGGGTTTAACCCGGTGAGACCCTCAGGAGGGTAGCATGGAGACTTTTTTCGGACCAAGGGATAGAATCTGCCTTAAAATGCTACTTGATGGAGTTAAACAAAGAAAATTACGCGTTGTCCCAACAAAGATGGTTATACCATTTATGTGTTACATAGACCTAGATAAATATGATGGATATAGAATGACGGTCCAATATCAATATCCAAAATGCGGAGGATATCCCATCTTATCCATGAAAACATATTGGAGGATGGTCATCCATGTTCATCGGGATTTATCCACCCATTACATTTGGACTCCCTTTATGAGATATATGACCATAGATATACATATACATATACATATACTTATACTTATACTTATACATACTGAACAGAGAATTTGGGCTCTTAAATCTGATGAACACTCCTGAGCACTGATCAGCACCTTTTCACTCAGTCAGCTCGAAGGTAGCTGAAAGCACTAAAATGGCTGCAGCACATATACAAACATATGTACTACATGTAACATGGCCTATACTGTACACATATCTGATCACGCCTCCCGAGCCTGTTCGGAGGCACGGTGAGTCCAAGTGTTTTGAACTAGGCGAGTTTTGATATGTACAGCGGAGCATAGCCACGACTCAAGCCATCTACGCTCTCAGTGTCAGGTGATGCTCACCTTCCAGAAAGTGAAAATTCATATTTCGCAGGGCTTTGTTCATTTTCTCCTCTATGACAGGTTTCGTCAAGACGTCGGCAAGCATATCGCCAGTGTCGACCTTCTTCAGCCGAAAGTAGCGCTTGGCAACGCGGTCTTGTACCCAATGGTATTGAGTATCCACGTGCTTGGCCTTGCCTAGTCCTCTGCGAGAACCCATTGCTATTCCTGCACTTGCGTCCATGAAAACTTCACTCTCGGGTTGCAAACCCCAGTCTTTGGCGGTTGAAACTTCTCCCAGCAAATTGCTGGCACCGCTCACAAGAGCGTAATACTCACTCTCTCCAGACGAAAGACTAACAACTCCCTGTCCTTTAGAATAAGTCTTGATACAACAACCACCGGCCATCAGGACGCCTCCTGACACGCTCTTCCTCGTCTTCACGCAACCAGCGTGGTCAGCATCAGACCACATCACAAATGGACTGAGTTTGCTCTGATGAGGAAAGAATTGTGCCATGCGTGGTCGATACCTTAGGTATCGTGCAACTCGTTTGAGCATAAGCATGTGGCTGGTAGTTGGTCGTTGTAGCCCTTGTGCTAAAGATCTTGTCGCTACTTGCAGATCTGGTCGATCTTGTGCCAAATAGGCTGCTCGCATTGAAACTGATCTGTACTGGGTTGCTTCTTCATCATTGAGAAAAACAGTGGCGTTCTTGAGGTCTTCCACTGAACCCTTGGCAAGTGGTGTCTTGACTTTGGCTCCTCGGGGACCATCTCCGAGTAAATCAATCACCAACTCTGCATGACGTGCATCTGGTTCCCACCAAATTCCATTCTCCTTCCATGTGATAATTCTGTTCAGGACTCTGATGTCCTGAATGGTGTTTGGTGTTCCTGGTGGTCCTAAAATACCACGTTCCACACATTTCCACTTCTTCGACAGCTCTTCATGAAGCCATTTGATGTTGTCAAATGTTCCGGCTGTTGTAAAATCATCTCCATGTACAACAGTTCTGAGGTCTCGGCCTGCATGGTAGTAAATGCATGGATTGCTTTTTCCTTGCTTGAAACCTAAGGCTAACATAACCTTCTGTATTTGCAACTCCCAGTTGAGAGGTGCGTCTCTGGTTCCATACAAAGACTTGAGCAATCTTCCTACCACAACTTCTCCAGGCTTCTTTGCTTCTGCAGGAAGTTCCACATAGATCTCACGCGTCGCATCTGAGTAAAAGTGGGCGCGTTTCACATCCAAAAATCCTAGAAGTCTATGCTTGCGATAGGCTTCCTTGACAGCTTTTCCAGCGTCTGGCAACTGAAACGTGACGGCTATTGTAACTAGCATCTTCAAAGCCGACAAACTGGGCATAGCTGCGAAGAACTCATCAAAACCTGAGCCCTTCTTGACTTCTTGAGCTACTAACCTACTTCTATAAAGTGGATTCTCTTCATCCTGCTTGTTGACATCTACCCATCGTGTTCCAATGGTGCGTACCCCTTTGGGCATCTTGTGTCTGGGAATCTTTTCCCAAACTGGAAAACTTTCGATGATTTCGACCTCATCTTTTCTGGCTTGTTCTACACCTTTGCTGTCTAAAATCTTTCCACTGATATCATCGTAATAATACCATGTGGCTGCTTCATCTTCCAGTTCTGGTGGAAGAGGAATTGTCTCTTCACAAACTGGCTCTTCTTCACCTTCAATGGACTGAAGGTACTTCTCCCGATCTTCCATGATCAGGTTCATAAGACATTGGTCTATGTCATCCATGTCTTCTGGTCTCTCATTCTCAGGTGGCCGTTTGGTGCCCTTAGACGCCTGAGCTGAAGCAGCTCGGCTGTCCTTGGACTTTGACGTTTCGCCTCCTGAGTCTGCAGGTCTTTTCCGACCTTTGGTTGGAGACATTTCCAACCTTTTGTGTGCTCTTTCTTCTTGCTCGCCTCCTGCCCTCTTGGCTGAGGCTGTGCTCGCGCTTGCGCTTTCTGCAGGTGGATCTGCAGCTTGTCCGGTAGCAGGACTCTGCCTCGCGATAGCAGGTCCAGCTGTTGGCAAACTTGGAGCAGATTCCCCTGTGGCTGAGTACCACAGTTCAGTGACGATATCTGCGTCATCAATCAAAGGCGCGTTGATGACTTCATCTCCTAAACTAGGATCCATTGGTTCAGACTTGATAATGTTTCCTGATTTGAAATCTCTGGTGACTCTCCACCAGACATTATCCCAACTGGGACCTTCTGGCATAGTACCCTTGAGATACCTTGCATTCTTGTCAAGGCGCGCAAACACCTTAAAACCGTGAGGAACTTCTTGTGGTTTCTCACTTGAATACCCATAAAGAATCTTTGTGCCTTCTTCGGACACTTCTTGTTTCTGACCAGTGATTTCAGAATCAACCTTGGCCGTATGTTGGGCTACTCTCAGGTTGCCCTCTTCTGCTTGAAGCAGACGTTCCATCCTTTCTCTGCAGGCTGGAGTGTGATGAACTCCAGTGCCTCTCTTGCCAATTCTAGTGGCATCACAGGCGACACAACCAGCGGTGTAGCCATACTTGTCCAAATCACGTTTGGTGATGTAAAGTCGTCTTGTCGACTTCTTTGGTGGCTCAACTGGCACTGATGGCGCCAGTGGCTGCTGATCTCCCTCAACAATCTGAGGAAGCAAAATGTCATCTCTTTTTGATGCCTGGGGATCCCAAGGAACCCCAG